TGTACGAAAGTCCTGGCATATGGGCATCCACATTTGTCATGTGTCGTACTGGGCACGAGGGCATTGATCAAGGCCCAACACGTGATCAAAGTGAAACTCCAGGCTTTGTGGTGTGACGGGTCGATGACGTGGATATTGAAAAGGTATCCACTGGTTTGGGCATCTCAAAATCTTCGCCGTAGAATGCAAACGTAGCTGTGTGAATTGCGTCTCCCAGTTCCTGAAATCTGAGCGGGATGCATCCATCCAACGGGCCACATCTTCGGAATAAGATCGTCGTACACTGCACAGATGCGACCGAGACATTACGCGTGAATTGGGTGGCTGATTCGCTGTACGCTGCAATAAGCTCTGTTCTCGATACACCTAGTCCGCGGTATTTTAACCACGTGAACTGTTTCACTTCAAACACCCTTTGTTCGTTTTCGGGTAATGAGATGGGCACCAAGAGACTTCAAGGCTATTGTTTTGTAGCCAGAAGCATTTCATTCTGAAGAAACTCACACTTAGTGCTCCGAAATAGAGAGCGGATTGGCATTGACCAGGTATTGACTGCTGCCGTCTCACAAAAGGTATGCTATATTCTACCCTTACAAAAATTCCAAACTACTCGTATAAAAAAGTTTGACCAAGGAGAAGTACTGTCGCGCGGTTAAGATATCAACGGTTAAAATATCGCGGACTAGGTGTAATTGCACACCCCCTACATTCTTTTTTGAAGGTGCCCTATACCGCTTCTGGCTCGATACGATGGACATTCTGAAACTCAGGGACTATCAGTCGACAGCGAAGATGCAGTTTCACTTGAAGCTGTAACCGCCTTTCATTGCTAGAGGTGAAAGTCTAAGACCTGTGAAATGCGAACCCCCTCGTGGACCAGGGGCTAATCGGGGTGGCCGGGGATAGCCGGACTTCACTGACAGAGGTGAAAGTCATGGATCAGTGAAGAACGAACCACTCCGTAGCATCTGCCAAGTATGCCTTCGTTAGCCCAGACAGAGAGCGCGAGTGCGGGATGTCACAATTACGAGGAAAAGTATAGAAGCAGGAAGAGGAGGTTGTACTAGCAGCAGTTGAGATACATATAGGAAACCTTACTTGGGTTGTATTCGCTATAGAGTACCCCACTGCAGGCTAGACAATTACATCATTCTGACACACCCCCATAGCCAAAGTGGGGTGTAATCAACACAACAAGTAGTCATAAAATAGTTCACAAGCCCAAGTAAAGCTAGAGGTAGTCACTGAGGGCATGTGAGGAGGAGGAGGGACTGTGAGAGGAGAGGAGATGAGAGGCGACGGCGGAAGCTGCAGACACACAGGAGCTGCTGGCTCAGTGGCTACCGAAGCAATGGCCCGGACTACAGGAGTAACTGGCTCCGCGGAGATTGTAGCCTCCTGACTGGAGCAACTGACCCACAGGCGGCTGGCGACTACCGGAGATTGTAGCCTCCGGACTACTGGTGCTGCTGGCGACACGACTGCGACCTCCGCTCAACCCCCGCCAACTGCCCCACGCCCCTAGCACACACCCCTTGCTGCACCCCTAGCTCCACTCCCACGTCACCCCCCTAGCACCACTCCTTCGGCTCCCACACACCCACCCCCCCCCTGAGCGGCAGCTGCAGCAGCGGGAGACGGAGGAGGAGGAGGAGGAGGAGTAGGGGACGGCGCACTCAACCGGCACCCCCACAACCGCCACCCCGGGGCAGCAAGGGGGGTCGCGCACGGCTCCAGGGGTGGCACGCGGCCCCCAGGGCGCCACCACGGGGCAGCGAGGGGCCGCGCGCGGCTCCCCTGGGCGCCGCGACGAGGCAGCGGGGGGGTCGCGTACGGCTCCAGGGGTGGCGCGCGGGTCCCCGGGGGCGACGCGAGGGTCGACGGGGGTGGCGCGCGGGTCCCCTGAGGCGACGCGAGGGTCGACGGGGTGGGCGCACAGGTCCAGCGGGGCCGGCGCGCCAGGAAGAAAAGGGGTCGCGCGCCTCGGGGCGTGCGCCAGAGAGCAAATCGCCGCGCAAATACGTCGCACGCCACGGGGCGTGCGACAGATCGAGTAGCAGCGGAAGCAGGTTGGTGGGCCCACAGGCCGAGGAAGGACAGGCTCTGATAGCATGTCACAATTACGAGGAAAAGTTTAGAAGCAGGAAGAGGAGGTTGCACTAGCAGCAGTTGAGATACATATAGGAAACCCTAGTTGGGTTGTACTCGCTATAGAGTACCCCACTGCAGGATAGACAATTACATCATTCTGACACGAGAACGAAGTGGTCGCTCGGTAGGTATCGAATGGCTCGCGCCCGCGCTCACAACAGTTCGGCGTGGGAAACGGGGATGGTTTCCTCCAGAGCTCACCTATAAGCCAAAAAAAAAAAAAAAATTCTGACTGAGGATGGAACTGGGGTGGCGTGACTGAAGTTAATGCTTACCTCTATTCGCGACTGGGTTTCGAAACGCTCACCAGCTATTCAATAACGCAGTGAACTACCCTGCAAGAAAGTCTGTTCCAAGGGTCAGTACCCCCACGGTGTACGTTTAAGGGGTGTACCCCCATGGACAATGCAGTTGATGAAACGGGAAGCACGCCACTGATACAGTTTCAATAACGGGCAATGCAATACACATGTTGTCAGAATCCCAGCCACTAGACCACTGGGATAAAAGGGCTTATTAAGTAGCGGGTCAGTGCGCCCATAACCCCCCATGCCAACGTGCCTGTAACCCTTCCCTACGATCAATCGGGGATCACCAGTGGACCTCTGACACCCCCCCGCACTAGGATGCCCGAAGTGCATACACCGGGATTCGAACCCGAGACCTTCGCTCTGATACCATGTCAGAATCCCAGCCACTAGACCACTGGGATAAAAGGGCTTATTAAGTAGCGGGTCAGTGCGCCCATAACCCTCCAGGCCAACGTGCCTGTAACCCTTCCCTACGATCAATCGGGGATCACCAGTGGACCTCTGACACATGTTGCTCAACTGCTGCTCTGTACGCGTCAGAAAGTCTGCACTCGTATATTTTGCGCCCGCCAGTTGCACCCATGTTACAAGCACCCTGAGCAAGCTGCACTGACTATGAACCAATAGTAACCTCAGAAATCAGAGTAAAACTGAAGAGACCGAAGTCAAACTGAAGAGACCGAAGTCAACCAGAACTAATAGTTCAATTTTCTTATATGCCCTTTTTGGCTAGGTGCGACGTTGACGAAATTGACGATACTTCGAGAAGCACTTATAAGCCCCCTTCACAAGGCAACATTGGGTTAGTCAAATGAGCATCATTTGTATAGTGTATGGGTAATTGGTAGTTCAGGACACTGTGTGGATTCTAGTGTCGATGTGTTATGGTTCTGAATTTTGCTTAAATATTTTCTATTTGGAGTACCGGCTGTAGTGGAGCTCAACCTGAAGATTGGAAACACATACACATGATGCCCAACCACTGCGCGCGAATTTGCCTTGCCCATTTCAGAAACTCTGCACCCGTGTTTTTTTCTCAGTCAGTTGCACTCAGGTTATAGGCACGCAGATCAACTTGCATTTGGGCAAGAAAATGCCAAAGTATAAATCTTAGGCGCAAAACAAACCATGTTGACCCGGTTTGTTCTTATTTCTTGGCCAGCAACAAGCATAAACCCTAAACACTGAACTAACAACAACACAGGCCCACCAGAACTGTTTTGGAAAAAAACAAACAAGTTACAACCTGTGTTTTTAGAAGCACCTCAACACCCTGGCGAAATGGAACGAACTGGGCGAAATGCCCAAAACGTTTATATGCCCAGAGCACAACCCAAGTAGTGGAGACTCAAACGAGCAACAGGTGTATAGACATACTGCCCACCTTGTTCAGTGCCCGATCGCCATTTGGAAAGAAGGTTCTCCGAGGTTCCCGTAACTGCCCACCCAGGAGCAGCACGTTTACGTGTATTGTTTTTGTTTTTCGTTGCCTTGCTGTCGTCTGATGTGTCCTTCCATTTGTCCGAAATGGCTTCTCCGTCACCCAACCCAACTGTTCCATACCGTGCTGCCCCACCCCTACCAGCTCAGAAGTGGCCCCCACCAACCGCCGTATGCAACGAAAGGGCGAAAGGCCATGCCACAGCATTGTTCAAGCACGCTTCCTCCCCTCGCCTAGAATTGTAGACCAGATTCATCGAGCGCTTATTGCACCCCCGCAATGCCGAGTTGACGCTCGTCTCCAACCGTAGTGCGTTTCATCGTTTGACATGTAAGGATACCCAGCATTGATTTCATCAATCCACGTGTTTAAAGTCTAAAACATAATCACGAAATTGTTTAAATTCAAGTCTGGATAACTGTCCAGTCTGCCATGAAATGCACTGATACGTATTCGATATGAGTTTGGGGTAGTTGTTTTGGGGAAGTGTACTCACATTACATAAGTGAATCACCCAAAAAATATTTACATGACCAGCATCCCTCCTGCATTCCGCCCTTCCCTTTCTTGATCCCCTTTTTCCCAGAATTCCAGCCCACATCAAGACGGATAGATTTGTTTCCCCTTTTCCCAGAATTGTGTAAGCCTGACTGCTAGGGTGGCTCTGCCAGACTTCCAGCGATGTTCGTTCTCGTCATCAGTAACTGATGAGCGAGAGAGAGTGTGGGCGTACGCCGCACGGAGGCACGTCACCTTCCCAGAACGAGTCATTCTGACCGCGAGATTGCGCTCTGCGACAGCGGCCGAAGCAGTCACTTGCATTCTCGGCAAGCATTCCGCTATCACCTCACTTTTCACCCCAGCACCAGAAATACGTCAGGAGCAGGAAGACGCCAGTCGGCAAAAAGACACTCCAATTGCAATCAATTCTACCTCCCACCAGTGATTCTCAGTGCGCTGACTGGAAACGCTCACAGAGCCCGGCCCGCCACGTCTCCGCGACAGGTCACTGTGTCTCTCCCGGGGGGCAGCGCGGACAGGCAACCCTCTCAACACGACTCGAACATCGTTTATACACACGACGAGATCATCCCGCCATGGATGGTCACCTCCCAGCGGGACAAATCGACATGAGCGAAGTAGCTGATCTGCTCTTAGGAGACGAGCCGCACGATCCGTCCGAAGGCGATTTAGAGGTGCAGGAGCTAGAGCAGCGCATGTGGAAGGACCGTCTCAAGCTGCGTCACATCAAGGACGCGTCGACGGCGGCGGCATCGGCGGGCGCGGTGGGCGCCGCGTCGTCGGGCGAGAATGGCGAGTTCGGGAGCCTGAAGTGCCGGCCGGATTGGGCGGTGGAGGATGAGGAGGAGGAGGAGGATCAGCAGCCGCAGAAGCACAGGCCGACTCAGTCGCAGGTGCGGAACGTGCGGCTTCACTTTAGTATGATCGTGCCTGTTGAGTGTCTGAGAGAGCTTGGAAGCATTTGGATTGGCTGAGCGCGTACATCTAGAGCATAGTATCCGCGATTCTCACGATTGCCACTAACTGAGCTGAGCTGGCAGACCGTTGACACAGTATTTCAGCAATGATTCGTTCTTATTTGCAGTCTCACTCGGTTCCCACCCCTCACGGCTCTCTATTGCTACCTTCCCCTTTGCCTCTCTGTGATTACCAGCAAGATGCGGCGCGGAGGAAGAAAATGTCGCGCGCGCACGACGGCATTCTCAAGTACATGCTGAAGCTGATGGACGCGTGCAACGCGCAGGGCTTCGTGTACGGAATTATCCCGGAAAAAGGCAAGCCCGTCGGCGGCTCCTCCGACAATCTCCGCAGCTGGTGGAAGGATGAGGTGCAATTCGATCGCAGCGGCCCGGCTGCGGTTACGAAGTATAACGAAGAGCAAGCAGCGGCGCAAGCGGGGCGAATGATGGTGATGCAAATGGAAGCGGCTGCGGCTGCGGGGGGAGGGGTTGACGGAAGCGGTGCTGCGGGCGGGGTGGTGGTTGGGCCTGGAGGCGTGCCATTGGTTGGGCCTGGTTCGATTTCTACACCGCGTACACTTCAAGATCTGCAAGATACAACTTTGGGCTCGCTTTTGTCCGCGTTAATGCAACACTGCGATCCGCCACAAAGACGGTTCCCGTTGGAAAAAGGTATACCCCCGCCGTGGTGGCCTACCGGCAACGAAACCTGGTGGCCGCAGCTGGGCCTTCCCCGTGGCAGCGGTTCGCCCCCTTATAAGAAGCCTCACGATCTGAAAAAGGCGTGGAAGGTTGGTGTACTAACTTCGGTGCTTCGTCATATGGCTCCCAACATTGCCAAGCCTCGGAAGCTGGTTCGGCAAAGCAAGTGCCTGCAGGACAAGATGACGGCTCGGGAGACCAGCATATGGCACATGGTTCTCGATAACGAGGAGGCTTTATGCAAACAAGAGGCGGCCACTAACGGAACATTGGCTGTCGGAGCGACGGGAAGCGATCCCGGAAATTCCGCCGCCATTTCCGGCCGGAATGGCCCGAACTGTCTCCCACACAGCAACAGCGTGAACAGCGGCATCATGGCTCTCGCCGGCAGCAGTGGCGCGGGTCCTAACGGCACCGGCAGCAGCGCTAGCGGCTTGCCGTCATCTATCCAGCGCGGCAACGGCCTCAAAATCCTCCGCGCGTTTGCGCACGAGAACTCCGCCAACGCTAACGGCGCCGGTGGGTCGCCTCTGCTCCGAGCCGGCAATTCTGACGGCCAACGTCCGATGGACCGGCAGGCGCTCGACATTGGCGCCACGAACATGGCCCCCTTCTCTCTCTCCGCATACGACGGCGGCAATCGCGGCGGCGGTGACGGAACCGGCAGCTCTGGCGGCAACGGTGTTGGCGGAGGGAGTCCGCTGGACGGGCAGCTGAAGCGCACGTGCTCCGCGCTCGGCTCGTATGGCGGGAATCTTAATCACTCCGCATCGGCCGGAGGTATTGATGCGAGCGGAAACGAGGCATCTCTTAACGAGGATACGAGTCTGCCGTGGGGGAACGGGGATGGCGCAGCGGGGGATGTTGCGGGGGGCGGAAGCGGCACGGGGAGGGATTTGGTTCCCGAGCACCGGATTTTCAAGTGCCCTTATGAGGGTTGCCCGCGGCGCGAGTGGAAGAACGCATTTGCGGACCGGAATCTGAGGAACATCCACCAATTGCGGTGCCCCTTCCGACCTGGCGCTAAGGCGCAGCAGCAGCAACAACAGCAGCAACAGCAGCAGCTTCAGCCGCAGCAGGAGTGTGAAACGTCAACCTCCCCGCCCCTCCCCGTCCATGCTTTTGCCAATCCGGGCAATAATTCCGCATCTGCTGCTCCTGGTAACTCAGGTGCCCCCTCAGGTGTCCCTTCAGGTGTTCCTTCCACTATGCCCTTCGGCGCCACCAGCAACAGTCCCTCTGGTGCGCCCTCGGGAATTCCGCCCTGGGCCGTAGACCATTCCTCTCAGCCTCCCCTCACCTCCGTTCCTCACATGTCCCTAGGCTCGGGACTAGGCTCGCCACCGCATGGCTCCGGACCTGCTGCTCCAGGTTCGGTTCCCGGACCTGGGCCCATGGGTTGGATGCAGCAGTGGCCCATGCCTCACCAACAGCAGCACGGCCAATTCTCCATGCCGATGCAGCATCCTGGAACCTTCGCCCCTGCCACGTCATCATATGCTGGCTACAACATGGGCATGGGAATGGGCATGGGTGGCTATCCCATGAACGTCCCGCCTTACCCTGGTCCGGGGACAGGTTCGGCAGCTGGCTCGGGAATGGGAGGTGCGGGTTTCAGCCAGCCCTTCAGCCATACCTCTCCTGCCCTGGGCGTCCATTCCTCTTCTTCCCCTTACGCCCCGTCTCATCTTCCCACGTCAGCTGCAGGCGGTGGTGGTTACCCGCTCCTGCAGATGATGCCAAACAATGCTGGCCAGCAACAGCAACAGCAACAGCAGCAGCAGCAGCAGCAACAACAAATGCTGCCACCCTCTTTGTCTCTTGCCCGGGCAGGGTCAGTGAACAGTAGCGCGGAGGAGAGGGAGAGGGCGGCAGGGGGAGCGGGAGCAGGAGCAGGGTTGGCAGAAGCTGGAGGGGAGGGAGGAGGTGATTTGGTGGAACGGGCAGTGTATGGTGGTGGTTCTACTGGGTTCGGCCCGGAGCTAAGAGTTTCTTGTGCTGTGGAGGGCGGCAGCAGGAGTCGTGCAAGTGGCGGCGGGCAGCTGAAATCTGTGCAGGGGGGTGGGATGGATGGTAGTGGGCTGCCTGGAAAGGACAGCACCAGGCGGCCGAACGGCAGTGGGCTGATCCTGAGCAATCAGGGGTGCATGGTGATGGGGCAATCCCTGGGTGGTGCGGCGTACCAGAAATTTGGTGCTAAAACAAGGTGTGATTCTAAGGGGGATGACTCTAACAGGGATGATTCCAGCAGCAAGAGCTGGTCCCAGGAGGGAGGGAAGGACAGCCCTGCGCTACAAGCACATGATCATGTGGAGGGAGGGAGGGCGGCGCTGATCGGTGGAGGGGGTGCGGGAGAATGTGAGGAGGATTTCAGGCACATTGATTTTGGTCATGATCCTCTCAAGGTGTTTGGATACCTGGATGAGGATGGGCATGCGCACATGCATTAGGCGTGTCCAACCACGCATACGGTGCATGCATACATGGTGTTTAATACGGTTTTGTCAGTGCTTCGTTGATGAAGAATCCACTGAGTGGATTCCACTCCAAGTGTTGCAGCTAGGCAGCACCCGCACCGAGTAGGCTTGTTTTTGGTCTAAAGAACACTAGGCCTGCTAACAAATGTATTCTGTTATTGAATAAAAAAATGTTTTGCAAGCTTGCTTTTTCCTGATAAACTTGGATCAAGCCAAGAGCCCACTGTACGGTGATACAGAACAAATGCATCTCACTACCAAACAAATTGTTTTACCGATATTTCACAGAAAGGATAAATTCCTGATCTTCCATGCAGTTACATGTACTGTACAAGTACCTCCCCACATTCGCTACTCCCAGGCTCGGGCCATGTCCCCAAGAAAGTTATCAAAGTACCCTTCAGGCTCCGTAACAAACCGGGAAATGATATCGCGTAACGTAACCACACCCAGCAGGCGGCCATGGTCATCAGTGACGTACACACGGTGAATGCCTTTCGCTGCCAGCATCTCTATCACTGACACCAGGCTGTCTGTGCGCCGGCAGGATACAGCTGGGCGCACTCCCCCCACTAAACCATAACTGTCGCCTATGGCACTGTCACTGCAGCTACTGCCCGTTTTGGCAATGGCGCCCCCGGCGGAACTGGCAGGTGGTATGGTTGTGGTAATGGTTGTGCCGTTGACACCCGCTGTGGCATCTGTAGGGGTGGGCGTGGTGCTGGTGGTGGCAGGGATGTCAGCTGCTGTAAGGGAGGAAGCAGGTGGGACGTGCAGCTCTGCTGCTTGCAGGGCGAGGCAGCGGTCAACAAAGTCCCGCACGGTCAAATGGCTGACGGGAAGGAAAAAATACGAAGAAGGGGATGCAAAGGAGGGTGAGGGGTGGGATGGAGAGGAAAGGTTTGTATCCCAAGATGCTGCCTGCAAGAATCATTGCTCCCTTGGCTTGCCTGTATCCACCTCCCTACCTTGACGGAAACATGTGATAATGCAAGAGGGGGGAAGTGTATACAGAGCACCAATGAAATGGTCACAACAGAACTCGGGCACGAAACGGAAATACCCTCAACAAGACTGGGGTGCAAGACGGGCGTTCTCACCTCCTAGAGTGGAACATGTCTGGGTGCAGCAGCAATAGTCCCACGTCCCTCGCACTGATGTTGGCGTACAGGATGCGATCTGGACCATCCGTTACCGGCACGCCGCCAACCCCTTTCTCCTTCATGAGAAGAAACGCCTCCAGCACCAATGCGCCCGCATCCACTGACACCACCTGGTCAAATCGGGGCCGTATTCGATTAGAGCTTGTGGTTGTTTTTGCGCGAGTTTGTGTTTTATTTTTTCTCGTTTCCTCGAGAGGCACCTCATGTCAACCAGCTTGGCGAAAGGGGGGGACAAAGAAAGGTAGAAACAGAAACAGCCTCAGCACTAAGGAGTTTAGAACAACAGGAGCTCAGCTCACCTCCTCCTCCCCCACAAGTGGCAGGCCCAGAGTCATAAGAGGCTTGTCTGCGATTACATCAAACCAGTCAAATCCACGACACCTGCAAGGGAGGGAGGGAGCGAGGGAGGGAGGGAGGAAGGGAAAGAGGGAGGGAGGGAGGGAGGGAAGGAGGGTGAATGATAACCAAAGAAGAAGTGCTGTGCAGTGTACATATACTGCTTTAATTGAGCAAGCAGCAGTCCAACGTGCTCTATTCGGGCCTTCATCTTGTTTGCTCGGTCGATTGAAGCTGACAGCATAGCAATGTGAAACGCGATTGACACCAAGACAAACCATATATGTACATTCATATACATACATATTATAGATATTTTCCCTTTGTTTTTTTCTTTCAAGTATGTTCCTGGCTGTACCTGGCAAGGCCACGAACCACGGCTGACTGTGTGATCAGGTTGTGCAGGCGAGGGGCCGGAGGGGCCAGTCCGAGGGCGACAACTGGCACGGAGCGCATGCGGAAGCGCGAGAGCAGCAGCAGCAGCGTGAGCATGGAGTCGGTGGGCTGCAGCGGGAGGAAGGGCGCCCAGCGGTAGCTGCGTGTGATGTCTGCCACCTGAGCAAGGGGGGTGTCATGGCAGAAGGGGATACAGGAGATGGGATGCAAGGAATGGGAGGAAGCTGGGGTAGTGGGGCTGCAGCTTGAGGAAAGGCGCCCAGTGGTAGCTGCGTGCGTGTGATATCTGGAACCCGAGGGGAGGGGGACCAGGAATTTGAACGTGGAATTGAAAAAAAACCAACCGCTTGCCTGAAGGAAGGGGTTCAAGAAGGAAACAAAAACCCCTTATGACATGCTTGTCTGTAGTGTCCATGACTTATACAATGGTGCTTATTGTGGCTGAGGTGCCTGCCCTGAGGTGCTGAACTGAAGTGACCTCTTTGCACACAAGCCCTTACCGTAGCTGAACGGATTCCTCCCATACAGCAGCACTTACTGTAGCTGACTTGAACGGCTCATTTTCAGTGATCATATGGAAAAAGTCCACACCAAGAGAATCGGCAGCAGCAGCAGCGCCGCCCCCTCTCCCTCCAGCCAACTTCCTCCTCTCTCTCAACCCCCCTGCAACCGCCGCCCCAACCGCTGCTGCTGCCACGCCAGTCACTGCCAGCGGTGCGCCTCCCACCCCCAACGCTGCTGCTCCTAGCGCCCCCACCACTCCCACGCCAGCACCTGTCAACGCTGCGGTGCCTGCTGCCAGCGTGGCAGCTGCCAGGTCAGCCTGCTGCAACACCCACATCATGACACCTGCATAGTCTACCATTCCTAGGTACCGATCAGACCACGCCACGTCGGATCCTAACCCTAATCCTGCCCCTCCTGCTCCACCTGTTCCCCCTCCTCCCTCTACCCCTCCCCCGCCCGCCCCACGTGGCCCTGCCCCTGGAGCTGCGCCTGTGAGCCTGGCGTTGCGGACTGGCGCAGAGAGAATGCGATGGACGGACAGGATGCGCACGGCTTCGAGAATGGACGTGTCAGATGAAATCTCGACGACTGGAAGGGGAGCGGGAGAACATGATTGCGAGGGAAGAGAAAAAAAGCGGGAGAGGAGGGCAGAGAGCAGGAAAGTACTCGCTCAAAGCCAATGTTAGGGTGTGACTCATTACCTATTTCCTACCTAGCCAACTAGCTCCTAAGGCAATCGTCGAGAATGTTCTGGGATTATTATACGAGCCTTGTAATCTCTTTTATCATATTATCGGGCAATACATAGGGAATGCACGGAAGGAATGAGGGAGTAACCCGACACGTTAATGCTTTTCTGGCAGATAATTCTCTTCAGCCTGTAAACCGCGTCTTAAAATAAGAATAATAATAATAATAATAATAACAATTCTTCACTGAAAAGAGTCGGCATACCTTCTCCACCTGGCGGAAGTGGGAAGGACGAGACAGGTATGGCAGAAAAGGCCTCGTTTAACAGCTGCTGAACGCCACGTGGCACTCCCACGCTGCCACCTCGACCAGTCGAAGCATCCCCGGAGGCCCCCCCTCCGCTAAGCTCCTTGAGTGCCGGAGCGCACCCGTCGTTCCCTCCCTGACAGTCTCCGCCATGCACGGCGCATTTCGCGCGGCTGAGCTCTTCGTCCCACATGCTCTGAATGCTCTCTCGCGCGCCAGGCTTGGGTGATTTGGCAGCATTGACGCACGGTACGAGCCGCGCTGCTGTGTCTGGAGAGACAGCCTCCATCGCTGGCCTAAAGTAAGGCGACGATGGTTGTGTACGGTAAAGGATTATTCTATTGCCTGGCTAAACCGTGAACAGAAGAGAAACAACGCCGAAACGAAGTAACAAATTACGTAGAGCCTCACTAATAGCTGGGCTACTAGTCGGAACTTATTACCGTAGAACTGCTTCGATAGCTTGCGCCTTGTGTTCTAGCACTGGAGGACAGCAAAGCAGAGCAAGAAATTGATTATTGTAGACACAAAAATCTGAAGCAGAGACATTTGAGAGTTGTGCAGTGCACAAAAATGGTGGCGAATGGAAGTAGATGCCGAGTGAACATTAAACTACAAGACGAGTGGTGCAATGCGGTGAGCGTAGTATCTAGGGCATTGCCAGTCGGTGCACTGCATTGCCGGTGCCCATACTGCTGGCTGGGGAGTCTCGTCGCTCTGCAGCGGACGTGTCGCAGAAGAGTCTCGTCCCTGAATTTCGCAATGCACAAGAGTGCAGCAGTGCCAGCGTGTGACGGGCCGACACGTCATTACCGGGTTACGCCAGCAAAGCTCCAGCACTGTGGGGCTGTGTCAGCAAAGTAAGAATTACAGAACAGTCAGTAGGAAGAATACAATGAAAATACAGTATATTCAGATCCTGCCATTTCCAAAAGAAAATTCACAGATCGTCCATACCATTCCTACAAAATGAACAGCAGAGCAGGTTCTGCAGTTTACATGGTTGAGCACCACCTAACCCTTTCCCTGGCATCAAGGTCATCCTCATCAGCATGTGGTGCTACAGGAGCAGAACCCTCCAGCTTCCGTTCTAAACTAGCCAACACCAGAGCCGCAACTTCCGGTGACCCTTCATCCAATTCTTCCGTGCCCTCCAGCACAATGGGTGACACCTCCATGGGTTGCTCATGCACCAGGCTACCAGGGTCTGGAGCTGACACCGAGTGCTCATCTTCAGGAAAACATGCCGACAGAGGGGTTGATATAGGTGCAGTAGGGGAGGGCGCAGCTGAGAGTGCAGCTGGGGGTGCAGTTGAGGTTGCGGCCTCTTTCCCCTTACCACCATGCTGCGCCTTCACCTGCCAGTGCGTGGCAGCTTTCACCACCTCCTTCACTGCCACATCAGCAGTCTGAACCCCTACTCCTGTCGCCTTGCTGTAGGCTCGCCTTGACGATGCTGACACCGCTGCTGCTGCCGCTGCTGCTGCAGCTGAAACTGTTGATGACGCTGATGATGTTGGCGATGACAACAATGCGGATGGTGATGCAGCTGCAAGAGACTGGAGAGATTTAGCAGATTTGGCAGGAAAGAGCACCCCATGACCCCCAGGAGCAGCCACCACATGGACAACATCCTCCATGCTCAGCAGCAGTGCCTTCAGCCTGGGATAGCCCAGCACAGTGTGATCCAGGGGGTACGCGTACTTCTGCAGGAAAGCACCCTTGAGGAATGCGAGCTGGTACCCTGTCTTGTGCACCCCTGGCTTTGACAGTACCTCCTGAAGCAGTTGCCTCAAATCACTCCTCATCAGCTCTGCCTTGTGACTCGCTCTGGCCTTTCCCCCATCCGCCGCTCTGCCTTTTGCAGGCGCTGATGCCTTGACCGACCTGCTACTCTCTGTAAGGTTACCCTTGCTGCCTTCTGTCACGTTTTCTGCAGCAACGGTTGCAAGGGGAAGCTCAAGGCGAGGCGGTGGCACTGCCCTGCTGTGAAGTGTTGAGACACCTGCATCTGACACAGACGATGGGTTTTTCAAGATGGATGATAAACCTGCTGCATCAGAGGTGGCAGTAGAGGAGGAGAACAAGGCTGGCTGCATGAAGGGACCTGCTTCAGGGCGAACAGCTCCAGGTGCTTCCTGTTTCCCCTTGATCACCTCATCCCTCAACTCTTCTCGCACCTCCTCCACTTCCTTCACCTCACGAACATCTCTCACTTCCCTCACCTCCCTCCACCTTCCCTCTGTGCGCCATTTGCTACCAGAAGGAGACCCCAGTGCAGCAACTTCCTCCCGCGACCCACCACCCATGCCCCATTCTTTCCCTTCGCCCCAACCCCTACCCTCATCCCAAGGCTGGTTCCCTCCCTTGATCCCAAACTGTTCCTCCTCTCCCAACCCAGATGGCCTCCTCTGATGTGCTTTGAATGCTTGAAGTGGTCGGGGAGACGGTGATGCATCGAGTGAACGAGGTGAGGGCAGGCTTGTGAAGGGGCTAAGGGGTGAAGAGAACGAGGGCCCCAGGGCACTCTCCTTCACGGGTTTCCTCTCTGAAGAGGGTGGCTCTCTGTAGCGAAGGGAAGAGGAGTGTGGGGAGGAGCGTGGGGAGAATGGAGACGAGGATTCGCCGCCCCAGCTGGTGTCGAAACGGCGATAACCTTCGGGTCGGGGCTTGGGGACAGGGGGAGGTGAGGCACGTGGAGTAGTGGGCGTGGACGGGTAAAGAGCACTGCTGGGTGTGCTGCCACTAGATGCAGCAGTAGTAGAACCAGCAGCGGCAGGGGGTAGCTGAGAAGAAAATCTTGGATTTGGAGAAGGAAGTGCAGCAGACACCGGACCAGAGGAGGTGGTTGATCTTGCAGCAGAGGGTGAGGCAGATACAGCCCTGGCAAGAGGCGATGAACACCCTTCTAAGTTTGCGCCTTTCAGCTCATCAGAGGCAAAGACCAGCACGAACCCTCCAGGAAACGACTCCAACCGTGCCAGACCCTTCATGCTCTCCAGCACGTCCCTCAGGCTCACAAATCCCAAAGCCTCAGGGTTGAATCCTCGCGGCATCTTCCGCGCACACTCCCTCTGAAGCTGATCCAACTGAATCCCATGCGGCTGGCTCAGCAGCACCCTGGCAGCGAATTCACGGAACTCCTGGAGCTTCTGCCTGTGGCGCCAAGACATGGGCGAAGGAGAGCTGACAGGCGACTCAACTACATCCGCTACTGCTGCTGCTGCTGCTGACCTTGGGGTGCTTCGCCAGCTGCCTTTGGGTCGTTCTTCTTCCCAGGTGGGACTACGTCCCTCCCCTGTCGCACCTTCAGAAGGGGATGCAGCCACCTTGAGAATTTCATCCCATGGCTTCACTGGCACCACTAGCACCTCCTGCTCACCCATGCCACTAACGCCATGCCTGTGCTCCCACTGCTGCGCCCTCCCACGCTCCCTCCCCTGCTCCCATGCTCCTTGCTCTTCCCCATGTTCCGTGCCTTGTCTGAGCCTTGGACTTCCAGCAGGAGGGCTCTCTGGCTTGACTTCAGCCAGCTCTCTCCCCAGCAGGTTACGCGACGGGAGGCCTGGCCTGGAAACGATCGAGTCGATTGCAGCCAGACTCAGCCTTGTTGGTGAGGCAGCAGCAATAGGGCCTGGAAGAGCACTTGCACCCACACTGCTAGCTTCACCTCTCGTCTGTCGACTGCTGGATTCAGGTTGAGACCATGCATTCTTTTCAGCTTCAGCACTGTAGCCAGAGAGCTTTGTTGAAGAGAGTCGTGCAGTTGAGAGTGACCTTGGCGACAAAAGGGCCCCTGGGTGCAAAAGAGGAGCAGGTTCGTGTACAGTCACTTGCACAGGAGACCACTTGGTGGGGTGGGGTTTCAACCAGCCTCGGAGAGTGACTGAGAGCTGCACCACGTGGATCAGCTGCCCCATCACCAGCTGCCTTAGCTCCTGCGGACCTTCTATCTTCAATGTCTCTGCTGCATGGTACCTGGAAGAGGTGAAAAAGTAAACGTGGTAACATGAAAATCAGCTTGCGAGCTGGCAATAAGGTTTGTCACCATGAAAGGAGCTAAAACCGTGGAGAATGAGACAAGGGAGAGAGGAAAAAGACAGACAAGGAACTGAAAGGCTTACAAGAGGAAAAAAGGCGGGTTTACCTGCTTTTAGAAGACTCCATTGCCCAGCGACCTTCAGCAAGAAGGTACTTCTGAAACGCCAGCCAGATGCCATCCTCGTACACATTACAGGGGAACGAAGGGTCAATCCACGGCCAGCAAGTGTCCCTCCCCTTGGGCAGGTAGACATCGTTACACTCTTCCGACATGACCTTGATTTCCCCAGCTGCGAGAGCCCTCTCAACAAATTTCCACGACGACCACCCAGGGATGTCCTTGAGACCTTGCTTGGCCATGACATAGCGGAGCCGGGCTTGCACGTTGAAGTCGCTCGGTAGGAGCTTGTCGTACTGCAGTGACTGCATGACGTATTGGAGCAATTTTCGTGGCGTCACGTCAGTCAAAGGATGTTTTGACAAACTGAGCTTGTCAGGCGACGAGAATCCCGCTGAGACATATTCCCAGTCCACAATTTCCACGTTCAGTAGACCTGCTAGATTTTGAGATTTGGAACTGGAACCGTTGAGAGATTCAACACTGACGGCTGATGGGTAAGCGTGGATAACACGAAAACCCCGGTGCTGCAGGCCCATCAAAACGCGAAAAACGTCAGGCGTAAGAGCTGCTGCGAGAAGAACAACTGCCGGTGGACGCGCATCAAGAGCCCAGAAGAGGATAGCCTCGTGTATCCTTGCTTCACCTGCCACACACGCACGAGGCACGAGAAGGGAGGAATAATTTCAGTGCACAGGAGAAAAAAAAGATCCGAAAGAAAAAAATAAATATTAACCAAGCCGACCTGGAGGATACTGATGGAGCTTCACGTTAGGAACAAGGCTGCTCGCCAGATTCACACGGAAATCGTTGCCGAAAATGTTAATGCTCCAAGCCTCGTAAATCCCTTTCATCTCAAGGAATCTGTTGACGTTCTCGATGACGTCTTCTGGGGAAAGGTCCTTGGGGATCGGACAACCTTCCACATCCCACCATACAGAGACGGATCCAGTAGCCATCTCGCTTGAAGTGGCCTGTAAACAGCCGTATGTCGGAGCGTTATGCAGGAGAAAAGCGAACGAGAGCAGTAACGT